AAGAGAAACCAAATATAAGGAGCGAAATACAATCAACGTTCACTTCCAGCAAACTAATATAAAAAATGAATACCAAAAATATCGAATTTTTCAGAGCACACTTCCTTTGCTAAAAATGATTCAGCATACGTAACATATTCCACATGGTGATACCAAAATTTGGCCAACGTTTCAAAAATATATACCAATATTTAGAAAAATAAAAGCAGCATGACGATAAAATTTATTAAATCGAAAAAAATTCTTCAACATCCTTCGAGCAACATTAAAAATCTTCCATGGATTATCAACGAGAACGAAAGAATAAAGTCGTCTACGTCGAGCAATTATTAAAAAAATATTCAAGCGATAATTTATTAAAAATTCATACATTAAACAAAATTCAGATATCCTCTAGCTTTACAGTTTTAGAAATAATTATAAATCGTGAATATCATCGATTCTATGTTTAACAGAACGAAAACTAAAAACGCATTTTCGATAATCAAAATGATCGACACATTGCAGCAAACGCACCGAAAATTAATACGCAATCTTCGTTCCATACACATTATCCATCGCTGATTTACTTTCACATATACATGCGGATTGCTGACACGCAGACTATCAATTTTTGTACAGCACCGACAAGAGTTTTTGCTTATACAAAAGAAACAATCGTTTTTCTTCTCCTTCTTCGTTTTCTCTCCCAAACTATCGATATTATTGCGCCACTGAAACGACGTGTACATTATTTACAAACTATTTACAGTAGAACGTTAACACACGAATTCTATCACAGAGAAACGAGATGATTCGTACGAAAAAAAAAAAAGAAGAGAAAAAGAATTGAAAAGGAGAACCTAGAGAAGATGACAAAATCGTGTAACAATGTCGTAGATAAAATTCTCAGACTTTTTCTATGCAAGACGAGAAAAAAAAAAAAAATACGAAGCGAAAAAGTAACAAAATACGATCATCGACGCGGTTGTTAAAAAACGAGAAGCATAAATTAAATCGTGACATCGCGATGAATTGACGTTCAATTAACGGCTAAATTGACAAACGAAATTACAAATGAATCCTTATCAATACCATAAACTCCGATAAAGCAACATTATTGCATTGTATACCTCTCTTTCGAATATTTCCTTCTCGCAAAACTGTCTCGTCTTAAAATATCGCTGCAAGAGAGAAGAAAAAAAGCTCTTCTCGCGATATTTACGCATTGAGCTTTCGAGACGATTCAGGCTTTTCCATCGATTTGAAAAAATTGCACAGTTCGAGACACTTTGTCTCGGCTGTTTTCCTTCGAGCATATCCGAACGACGTGGACGAGCGTTAATTAACTCGAATTAAACTTTCCACTGGGCTTTTCATAATGCTTTCGCTAATTCGCAAAATGAAGTTTATTCAGTCCACGAGAGTAGCGTGACTTTTCTTCTTTTTTTCTCAATCGATCTGTGTGTGATTCGTTTACGTCCAGCGTAACAAAAAAATTCGAACGTGTTCACTTTCGAACATTTCACGAAACAACGAATCATTTTTTTTTCAAAATTAAACGTTCCACGCTACAATGTAACAATTTGATTTTTGCAACGCTACTTACAAGACTTTGTGGAAACGTTCCATCACAGAGACCCGAAATATCACGTTCATTATTATATGTATACATGTATAATATCAAAACGTAGGAATTGAAGATTTATGAAGAACATGGTTGAAAATAATTTTCTTCTATAAATGATACATGATGTCTTTTATTAAATCCTCGAAGCTGCTCAGCTTTATTTCTCATTGCCGAAATATATGGTCGTATATTAGATTACTGTTATTTCGTAGCATCTTGAACACTTTATTCGGTGCTTTATAACCTAATCATCCTCGAATCCTTCGTAGATGTAGCAGAGTGCTTGAAAGGATCGTGCTTTTTCACCAATTATTTTATGACTAGAATCTGAGCTGTAGCTTAGAAACCCTTTTCCGATATATGTATATATATATGTGTGTATTCTAATATATTATTACAGCATTTAATTATTCAGAGTAAACTCATCTTTGGATATGCGATATGAATTTACAGTTAAATTAGAATTAAAAGTTCACTTCACGATTGAATCGTTGAAATAAAATTTCGTTCGTGTAACAAGAATAAATAAATTATCGGATAAAATCAAGTTCAACGAACAACTAACAATCACATTTAATCAGCTATAATCACTCGCCTGTCATGTTTCAACAATCGAAGCAATTACACACTTCCTACGAAGGAAGACTTCGTTGAATAATTATAAAAATAAGAAAAGAGAGAAAGGAATCGTGTACATATACGTAGACTCTGTAAAAATCTTCATCGTAACGCGCGTTAAACTTTTCTCTGTTCAAGAGGGTGCACCGCCCCGAGGAGTCTGAAAATAGGTGAAAGTTTGGGAATTTTTTTTTATGGACAACTGCTAAGTGAAAATTTTCAATTTTTCAGAGGATACAAATGTAAGTATCAGCTTTCGTCTTGAATTTTTGAAAAGTGAAAATGTTACAAAATGGAGGAGTTACTGCGAGACATCTTTTGTTGGAACGTCGGTTGCTGGTTTTTATTGCCGACAAGAATTGGAATGTCTGAAATAAAAAATTCTTGCGGATTTATGAGTGAAATGTGTTATCTATAGTGTAGCTGACGATGCTTTCGATATCTCAATTATTTAATTTTCTAGAAATATTTGAATTTGGTCTGTTTTGGTAAAAAGAGGTTTTTCCTCTTCAAATTGACACCGTTCCAATTATAATCAAAATTTTTGAAAAATTCTTTGCTACATTGTCGGTGATACACTTTTCTTCATAAATCAGAAAGATTTTCTTATTTCAAATGATCCAATTGTTGCCAGCGATCGATGTTTTATTAGCAGAAGAGCTCTAGCAATTAACAAATAACTCCTCCATTTTGTAACATTCTCACTTTATAAAAATCGTAGAGGAAACCTGATACTTGTGTTTACATCCTCCGAAAAAATTGAAACTTTTCATTGCGTACTTACCTCCAAAAAAAATTCTCAAACTGCCCGTTTTCAGACGTCCCAGCGCGGTGTATCCCTTTGAAATCACGTAACAATAAACGAACAGCTAACATCGTGTAATAAAATACAAAAAAAAAATAAAAAAAATAAAAATCAATTTCTCCGATCGTAACGTAATCTTAATAACGCATAGAGGCGTAATTGATAAAATAAATACGCGGTTCGACAGCGAATAGCACTAATCAAACAACAACAACAATAAACGACGATCACTTTGGAATTCTATATCACATCGGCCATTTTTAGTGTTTCTTCTTCTCCTTCTTAACAAACAGCAAAAAGAAATATCATGTCATGTAACGTGTCATGTAAGTGATGTCTTCATCGATAATACTCTAATTGATAACATGCTTATGATAACAAAGACTACGCTCTGTCCACGCGATCTTTCTCACGAGCACGGATCAGAAAACGAGCCACGGTAGTTTCTCTACCAAAAATCGAATCCCTGGATCCCGATCATTGAGCACCGAACATCAAGCAGAGTGAACTCTGATCAACGGAATCGATCGATCACGATTGGCTCGCTGGCTCTCGCCGAACTAAGCGTACCGATCTTCTGTCATCGTTCAAACACGTCCCTTCGACTCTCAAGCTGCCAAAACACATTCAATATGCCGGCAAAAGAGCTAAGCTTCCATCGTCGGTTCGTTAGCGCCCGAAATAGAACGAAGAAACGAGAATTTCATGTGGGGGACACGAATCTCTCCTTCAGGAATCAAGCGGCGCAGCTATCCAAAAAAAAAAAAAAAGGGACGAGGATTTATTCGACGAAGTATTGTGGACCAGACAAAGGTGTCTTGACGAACTGATCGATTCGATAAAACACCTGTCGTCCTCTCTTCCTCGTTCCTCCCTTTCAGAGAGCGACTCGAAAGATCCAGGTCGAAGAAGGATCCTATCGACTCTTCCTTGGTCCGTTGATCAATCAGTCCCAGCGTGAAACTTCCTCCGTTCGCGTGTCTTCTATTCCACGGAAACTTCACTTAAAAATACTATCTTTGGCAATGCGACGTGACTTATGCGTTCGATGCACGGCCACCTCTGTCCTCTCGGTGTGCATCTCTGTGATCGTTTCGCGATGGTACACGATTCACGTGTGTCCCTGTGTTCCCTGGCCACGCGTGCTCCTGGTTTCTTCACCAGTTCCCTTCGATTCTACGAAGATCGACGTTCCAGTCTCTGCTCTTTTGACTATCGCGGCGTGTGTCTCCAACGACGACGAAAATACAACGTGTACTTGGTGCACACCTTTGACGGTTTCTAAAAGGTATCGTATCTTCTTTCTCGAGCAGTTTTCGTCTATTTCCTCGGCTAGAAGGTTCAGTTACACCGGACAGACTTGTAGAAAAATCTCGGTTTAACACCTAAGCAAAATATCCTTCCGTTTCATCGGCGATCGGTGATTTTGCGAAGAATGTAGATGTAATGCCTGTTTCACACTTTCCTCGGTGGAGTATCGAACAGAGTTAAGCCTGATTCACACTTTCCCCGGTGAAACGTCGAAAAAACATGTCTGCAGTGGTCCCTGTCGACGATACACGATGCGACAATGACCTTCTTTGATATCTCGTCGGCAGTCGAAACGAACAGGTGTAAATCGGGCTTAAGGCTAGATTCGTGGAAACTGTTCTCCTTCGAAACCGTAAGCACGCGAGGCTGCCAGAAATGTGTTAAAAACGCGAGTACTTGGATAAGATTCGCCTTTTTTGAGTTCTCTTCTTTTCTTCTTTCTTTTTGGCAAGATGGCGGAGAATCTCTTATCGCGGGCTACACGTTACGTGCATTACGTATATAGTCGACGATTATACGCGTCGTTTTTTCTTAATTGTTGCGTGTGTAGGCGACGCTACGGATGTATAATTAGGTGGGTGTACGTATTGTACACGTTACGTGCATTACGTATATAGTCGACGATTATACGCGTCGTTTTTTCTTAATTGTTGCATGTGTAGGCGACGCTACGGATGTATAATTAGGTGGGTGTACGTATTGTGTGTGTGTGTATGTGTGTGTCTTTTCATTTTTGTTTCTTTCTGCGGATGTGGTTCACGGTAGAAAGTTGGACTCCTCTCAGAGGCTGCTCCCGAGCTCGCTCGATCTTCGTCGGTCGATGTGCTTTATGTACGTCTCCGAGTATATGCTCTTAGTGCGGTCGTCGTACCTGCAAGCAGAAGCAGACAGTGGCACCAATACGTTTTGCTCGCCTCGACGACGATCATGCGGCTTAAGGTCGGGATTGTTTATTGCTTGGCTCCTTGCGTACAATCAGAGACAGAATAGAGAGAAACAGAGAGAGAGAGAGTGTGTGTGTGTGTGTGTGTGTGTGTTGTGTGTAAGTAGAGTAGCGTTAATTGAACGGTAATTCCTTCTTTTTAATTCTGGAGATTAATCTGAAAGAGTAAAAAATAAGTAAAAATAGAAAAAATTGCATTAATTTGTGGTGATTGTGAAATTTGATCCCTTCATTTTTCAGAAGTTCAAACTTCGGCTAATTCGATGTTATTAAATTACTATCATGTTCATGCTGTTTAGAGTTCAGATTGCTTATTGTTTGAATCAGAGATGAGATAGAGAGATTTAACCTTAATAATAATTTATGTACGTAATAATTATAGAAATTTATCAGTTTTATTTATAGAAACAAAAAATTTAATTTACTTCATTGTATACTATTATATTTAATTTTATCATTCATAGTTAAAATGCGTATACGTTGCATAGTTGATTATTAAAAGCTCATGCTGAAGCTTCTCATATTGGTCCCATAATTTTAGCTTCTGTTATATTCAAATTAGATAGACACAGTTTATTCCGAATAATTATAATTTTTAATATTCTGTTATATACAGTTCTGTGGTTGTATGCAAGTAGAGTAGCATTAATGGAACAATAAATTCTCTTCTTAAAATTGGAAAAATTGTACAGATTGGTGGTAACTAAAAATTTCACGACAAAAATTTCATTTTTCAAAAATTTCAGATTCAGTAACGCAAACTTCATCAAAAATTCGTTAATTTGACGTTATCGAATTACTACCACGTTCAATTAACGCGGATATATTGCATAGCGAATTATTCTGCGTTTCGTAGAATATCGTTTAATTTTCAGGCAAATGTTTAATTATGTAGTAATAGATTCGAATTGTTATGTTTCTCGTGTAATTATATATTTTAATTAAAATTTCGACGAAATTCAATTTCTTTGTAAGTTTATTATATCGTTGTTACTGTATCAATATTATTTTTAATTTATATGCAAATAGAGATCGATTTAAGGAAATTCGAGCTACTTTACATTTGTTGCACTAACAATAGAAGCTTTCACTGTACAATTTAAATATGCAAAAGAACTTGTGAACAGGAATAAATTGAAAAGAAAATTCAAGTCACTTTGCAGCTTAGAAAAATTCAAAAATAATTTCAGAACGTTGTTCAAAATATATCATTATCAATCTTTAACTAATTTCCAACAAATTTGAGATTCGGAAAAATTAACGGTCACCTCCTTGACATCTGATAATTAAAACATGAGAACGATTCTGCAGTAATAAATATTCATCTGAATTAGAAACGGTTTCGAGTGGGAGACGTTTAATTAAATTTACTACAACTAAACGCGACACAAAATACTATCCACTTCCGGCGATGTAAATTGCTCAAATAATATGTTCGCGTTACGTGCTTATTCACGCTCTTTCTGGATAATTTATTTTCACTGTAGCTGTTTTACGACCAAACTTTAAACGCTCGTTAAAGGTAACGAAATTACGCGAAAAAAAGAAAAACACATGGTAAAAAGGAGAAAGAAACAATGAATTCCAGTAAATTTACTGCAGAAGGCTCGTTTGCTCAGAATTTTTCGAATTAATTTAAACAATCCGCGACATTAATGAAACAGGAATCTACAATACCTACATTATACCCGAGAAATTTTTCTGTGTACGAATTTCATAGAATCGGTCGCAATTTTCCCCAATTAATTTGAATAATCCTAATGGAACACGATCAAAAAATATGCCACACTCGAGCATCCTCGTTTCTCAGTAGTGCACACTTTAATCGCAAACGTTTAGCTAGATCAACGTCGTCGAAAAATGTTTTCATTAAACGAAACGAAGGGTGGAAAGCCTGCTTTGAGAGTAGCTTCCAGTGTTTGCAATTTCCACGTGAGATAGGAGGTTAACGATCGACAATCCAAGTTACCAAGTCGAGCAAAACCTCTCACTCACACGTTACATGCAAACTGATCGAACGCAGGCAAACTTTAGAAACAGAAAATTCACAGAAACAGCGACGTTGACTTAAGAGACAATTCTCGCAACAATAGAAGAATAACAAAGAAAGAAAACATTGGAAACCTGAAAGTAATTCCAGGTGTAACTTCGAAATTTCAAGTAAGATCGAGCTTTTAACGCACGAAAAATTCGAGCTTTCTCTCGTTCTTTTCTTCCCTTTTCTTCGGTGCTTTAAGGAAAATCACTTTAAGAGAGGGTTAGACGAACGTGTGGGATAAAAGAGTGTACATGCACGTTTCTTGAGTCACTTTCACACGTTCGTGTGAGAAAGTCGAGCATCCGGTTCTCGACTTGCCCTACTTTTCCCTCGCGAAATTAAAAGTAATATCCCTCCCCTCTTGCTTGGTCGTTTCTAATCACTTCGCTTTAAAGCCATCCCTCGAGTAGTGTTGAAAATCTCGCTTGTGCTTTCTAATGCAGTTCTGGTTCGGTTAAGAAAAACATAAAGGTGTCTCTCGAGGAGGAATCGGTGTTGAAAAGAGAGTTTGTTTAGGGGAGCAGCGTTCGAATTGCAAGTGGACACAAAAGGGCGGGAAATTATTTGAATTTAAATATAATTGTACCAGAACGCTGACACAAAATGACTGACACTTTTGCATATTTTAACCCTTTACCTTGTAACGAGGAGTTAGACACGTGGTGAAAATTACGGTACGCTGTATTTCCGATCAATTTGTATTTTAACGCGGTCTCTTTAATACGATTACAAAAAGCAAATTGTACGTAACATTTTGACTGTTTTTCGATTTCATACTGCGTTAAAACGGTGAATAGTCGAGGCTAACATACGTAGCGATTAAAAATTCGTAAGGGAAAGGATTAACGACCGGATTTATGGGAAAACAACCGATGAATTTTTCACAGGGATAATGCACCGCCTCACTTCGATCCTTGTTTACGACATTTTGACTAAAAACTCGACTCTCGTAATCCCGCAAACGCTGTACTCGTGAAATTTTCTATATGTGAACGCTATTTTTGAGTCAATTATGGCGTTAGAAAAATTCGCAAAAAAGCGGTCGCAGAAATCGAGTTCCAACGGGGAGCTATGCAGATTGGAAAATCCATTTAAATGTGTTACGAAAATGGAAATAATTTCGAAGCCGACCAAACAGAATACTGTCAGATAAACGAATAATTTCTACTTGATTTCATTTGTCCTGGAATTTTTTGAACGCAGTACTATTTGATTCAACTGGAAAAACCATCGGTATTTGTCAAATATATTGCAAGAAATGGAAATAATTTTGAAATCGATGAAAATAAATATCGCCGAATAAACGAATAACTTGTATTCTGTTAAATTGATCCTGGAATACATTTTTAATCGAATAACATCGCGTAATTCAGCTGGCGAAAATTTTTCCGGTAACAAAATACCACGGGTTACCGCTAATCCACGAGACACATTAATCAGCGTGTTAACAGGCGAAACTTTCGCAATTACTCTAATCCATCCGCGCCGTTAATTGCAACAAGTAACATGCAACGCGTAATTTGCAACGAGAAATAAAGTTGCGCGCGAGCGTGTTATCAAACGGAAGGAAAGCGACTCGTATATCAGGCCGCGTTAATTAAATCATGCGTGGACACGTCGCTTGTTACCCCGAAAATTATTTTCCGAGAAACGCGCTTCGGTCGAGTATTTCGGGCCGACGTATTTAGAATTCTATTACAACCAGTGGATCAATAGTTTGTTCCTGCATTTTCGATAACTTTTAATCGAACGGCCGCGTTGATGAGACCGTGGTACGAGAATGCGAGCAATCAGGAATCACGTTTTTCAGGGGCTGTTCGAATCGAGAGTATAGCTGAAGGGCTCGATACTACAGCGCTGTGAATGCGAAATTTTCAGAAATAACGGCGACGATAATTGTAAATAATTGCTGCTGATAACGGAGTGACCCTAGAATTTTACAAAGAGAATTGATAAATAAAAATTATTTTGTAGCAATAAGTGCTGAAAATAGTAATTTCTGAATTTTGTGAAGTATGCCAGTATACGACAGAGTGCAAAGAGAAAAAAAATTGATAAATAAAAATTATTTTGTAGCAATATGTGCTGAAAATACTCGTTTCTGCATTTTTTGAAGTATGCCAGTATACGACAGTACGCAGAGAAAAAAAGAGTTAATAAATAAAAATTATCATTATTATTTTCAATTTTTGCATTCTGTTAAGTACAAGTCTCTTCGTTTTTCACTTTTCCGTAAATTTGATGTTTTGATACATGAAACGTTGTTCTAGAGCCCTTCAGTTTCATTGAAAATTAAGAGGAGGTTCTGGTGTAGAAGGTCGAAAAATGAGTACCATCATGAATTTTTCTTACGAAACGAAACGAGGTATCGATCCGAACTTTTTGCTGAACTTTTTACTAATATTTCTAGTATCGAATTGTATTTTCCCGTGTATAAAGAAGTCGTCATTTTCTACCGAAAAGTAGCAGGGCAAGGTTAGAACAACGGTGCTGTCGTTAAACGAACGAAATGAAGGTAGTTTCAACGTTTATGACACTCGTGGGAAACTGAACCAAAATGCATTGAAAAATGTAAAGAAAGTAACAAAATGAGGGCTATTTCACTGTTCCAAGTTTTTATTTTACAGCTCCGAAGGAAGCGTTAATTTTTTAATTTTTCTCCTGGTCTCAGGTTTAACATCCCTTAAAAAGTATTTATCTTCTGAAAATCAGAAGCTTGTACCGATTAATTCGTTTGTTCGACTGATTTGGTTCTACTCAAGAGCTCGAAATTTCGGTGATTTTTCGAATTTCCAAAAATCCCGCTAAAAGCATATTTTTACGTGTCTGAAGAATGCAAAAAGTGTAGAAAAGAAGAAAGATTTTTTTGCATTAAAAGATATTGATATTGTATAATATTTAAACATTTGCAAAGTGAAAATTAAAAATGTGTACTTTTAAGATTTTCTAAAATAACTTTGAGATTGTAATATGTCTGGGGTGGAATTTTCGAAGCTTCATCGACTGTACTGTTTCCAGTAGGTTCGAGGTTTGCAAGCTCTATTCTCGTATTTCACAAACAGCCTGGGTATAATTATTATTTCGCGCATCTGTATCGTTAATTATTATAAACTAAAGAAACATGGTGCAGTGCGATGTGCTTTCATTATTGCCTTCGTTTAATCGTGGGTTTTTTTTGTTCTGGATTCTCGTTAAGGTTCATACAAGAGGAGCAACTACAAATAATGCAAAGTATAAAATGTACGTCTCGTTAGAAATTATTATGAAAATTGATTTTAATCCTTTTCAAAAACGTGCAACTTAAACAAGGATCGTTAATTTTAACGTGATCTAGAAGAAATGTAAATTGAGTATCCATACTTTACACTTATTCAAAATAATTGACTAAAAAAGGCAGGTAAAATACTTTACATCTCGAAATAGTAGAATTTCTGCTTAAAATAACCCGAGGAAAAATTTTGTTTAAACCCTTTTGCTGTGGCAGACTTTAATACGTAACGCGCATGGCAGACGATAGATGTTCAATCAGTCCGCAAAATCTTTCGTTTCGGTGTCTTAAAATTTTGAAAAACTTTTGGAATGAAAATTAAAAATTTATCGTTTTTAAATTTCTCTTATTAAATTAAGCTGGACATACGCAAAGGACAAAAATTAAGGACTAAATTAAAGTGAAAGTATGTCAAAAGACGCCAAAGGCACCGCGCGAGAAAATATTCAAAACGCCTATAGGCGCCAAGGACGCAAGAAAATATTCAGAACGCCTATAGGCGCTAAGGGCACAGTGCGAGCAATTTCCAAAACGCCTATAGGCGCCACCAGTAGTGAACAAGTCAAAATTTTGTATATATAATATAAAATTGTAAAGTTTATAATGCACAAATTTTTCACTCCAATAATAATTGTAATAAAATTTGGATTGATATTAAATCTTATCTAACCGCTTGATCTTTGTCTCTTGGAAATTTCTGTTTGTTCATTTTCAGAAGAAACACCGTGAGTTCTAGCTGCTAAAGTTCTGCTGTACATTCATTCAAATTACACATTTGAATACACGATAAATCTTTGGAAGTGCATTAAATCATGGCGTTGCACAGCAAGCATGGATTAATGAATTTCTTACACACAACTAACTTGTGTACAGATCTACTTTGTCGGGTGTTCTACTTTGACTAGTTGAGATGTAAATAAGCGGTTTGAAATGCTGTGTTGAATTAACACACACACACGTCGAGGTTACTTAATTAAACAAATGTTTATGTAAGAATTTTGTGCTAGTACTGTAAGTTACATTCGTACTTTTAATGAACGTATTGTTTTTCCCTATTTACGAATAACGAAGCACGCTGATTTTTGCAGAAACACCAGTAATTATTTACCGTTTCTTTGAACGAAATACATAGAATGCAAAAACATGTATTTCGTTGATTGCAACGCTTTCAAGTGACTTGGAGAGAAAATGAAACAGAACAGTTTAGATAATACAGTGATTAAATGGAAAATTTTTTAAATGATCAAAATCACTGTAACAGTTTCCGAAGAAAAGGTGCATGGAGACAAGAAAACACGATTTTACAGAAGAACACTTTAATAATTATGACACTGCAATTCAATGGGGCTGCTAGTCGTTAATTTTTCTGTAATTATTTTTGTGCATGTGTGTATTTTTCAAGAAATTGGAAGTATTGCAAATAATAAAATTCTGCTGAAAGAAAGGAAGAAATAAGTGTGTTAATATCATTATGAGAATTATAATCACTATATCATTCCAATCCTTCCAATTCATTCGCATTGCATTTGAATTTTCTTTTTCATGCATATAGACTTGTCTATATAAAAACAAAATTTATTATTCGATCATTTATTATTCGTTCACAAACAAAAAAATGTTTCATTCCTTGATCATTTCCACCCTCAACACCAAAGAGTCACATGCACAGTACTTCAACAATTACGCGTCGAAATCGCGATTTTCATACGAGAATAAAGCTCGACGAAGCTCCGTTCGTGGAACGGCGAGGCGGAGAAAGAAGAGAGAAAGGGGGAACGAAAAGAAGCGATAGAATGTAGTGCGTACCTCAACGTGTCAGACCAGATCGTACCTTAGGGACGGCCGACGGAAGTCGAGCGCCTCGAGATCGGACGGCTCTCGTCTGCAGAGCGAACAGAACGCGCACTGCAGCGTATTCTTGAACGCTTCTCGGAAGTCGCGGTTGAAGTACGCGTAGATCAGCGGGTTCAGCGCCGAGTTCGTGTACCCAATCCAGAAGAGGATTGCGATCACGATGTCCGGGCAAGGGCAGGTATCGCCGCACAGTGTCGTGATAACGTACCTGAGAACAGAAACTTCGCTTCAGCTGGTTCTCTGTGAAATGGTCCGAGCAGTCGGTGATCTTCAGGACCTACAGCTTTACTATCAGAAGGAATTCCCTAAAATACACAGTGTACCAGATTTGTTTTTTAATTTCTGCGTGCCACTAATCAGGGGAAATAGAGGGAAAACTGATAATCCGAATTTTTAATGTAACTACGCCTCCGGTTGAGATAAAGGGTTGAAATTTCGTGTCAAATGTTCTTTTTTGGAAAGCTATCGAATGGTCCATCGGAAGATAAATTTAGTTTAAGGACACTTTTGACACCATTATCAAGGTATGCTCGTTTGCATTTGAATTTTATACTAATTTTACTACGGACTTTGAACAAATGTGTCGAATTACTAGCAGAAGTTTTCATTTGTTCGGCGATATTTGGTGTGGGTGCTTAGTCGGTGTAATTAAAATCGAATTTCTTTTTGGTACACTACAAGTGCGACTTAATGTGTTAGTCTTCGCATAATATGAATTTGGTGTATTTTGGAGAAATTAGAAATCTACTTTGGGAATCTGGACTTTTGAACAATAGCGAAATTTAAGGGTAGATGATGAATCATCGGTAAGATTTATATTATATGATACTACTGACACTTTTTTTTTATTTAAAAAAATGCTTTAAAATAAAATTTTGTGAGAATCTATGCGTAGAAATTTTGCATAAAAGGAACAAGAGAAATACCAATATTCAAAACATTTTTCTAACTAGAACAGCGGGAGTAAAAATTGCATAAACCGGTTGGCGCCCAACACGCGTATTTACTTAACTATGTTTTCTTATCCTAACGAGTGCAATTGAAACAATCAACCGAGCATCATACCCGTGTGCGTCATGATCTTCCTCAGTTTCCACGTTACAATTAAACGAACAAACAGTCCAAAAATATCCACAATTTACTCGATACACAGTATCAAAGCCATCTCATGAAATATTCAAAAATATTAGGTTGTTGCATACGATATGGTCGATTTTTCCAAGTTTAACGTGAAAGTGAAACCATGGATCAAGATCAAATTTTAGCATTCAGAAATGCAGAGTTTTCTTTAGGAATCCAGTCTGACAACCCCAAAAAATAAGCAATTTTTAACAATTTTTTTCTACTAAACTAAGAAAGATATTGCAATACCTCTAGTTTTGATAGAAAGCGGCATGCTTAAACTATATTAAACAATTTTTGCAAGCCTAATATTTATGTTAATATCGCGGAACCATATTTTTGAAAAGTACTCTCAATTTATGCAAAAAAAGAAATCGGTGTTTTCACAGTTTCGACCTGAATTCTCCCCTTAATAAACATTAACCTTCCTAGAATTCGCCAATTTTTTAGAAACAATTGACGCTCTCACCCTGCCCTTCCTTGTTCTTCTAATGAATTACATGAAACTGTATGCTCCAAGTACCACATTTCGATCATTTAAAAATCGGCGTGAGAGACCGACATGAGTCACAGTGCACTGAAAAATAGCGCGAGTTCAAGAAGGTTAAAGTCTCTCTAATGTACTAATTAATATCCTTGAATTGACAGACGCACCACAAGAAGAACGGTAACCAGCATATTATGAAGGTACCCATGATGATGCCTAACGTCCTGGCAGCCTTGTGCTCTCTTTTCATCTTCATGATATTCTTATCCTTCGTAGGAGTGTGCAGATGATCCGTGCTGATCTCGTTCAATGTCAACGTTTTCGAGGAGCCCGCGCTGTTCAGCTCCCCGTTCAAATTATTCAGATCCTTGCTCGGCCTGTGGCTGAGCAACATCACGTTCCCCATCCGGCTGTGCATCTGCTTCTCCTGTCTGTTCGCCTCTTTGAACACGGCGAAGTATGTGAGCGTCATGATGGTGCACGGTATCCAGAACGAGATACTCGACGAGAATATCGCGTACACCTTGTTCACCTTGAACTCGCAGAGCTCCGGATGCTTACGCCTGTGCATGCTGTTCTCAACTGTGGTATACCAGCCCATGAATATCGGCATGAACGAGATGAACGCTGGCATGATCCAACAGGCGAGCAACATGTAAGCGGCCACCCTTTTGGTCATGATGATAGGATACTTGAGCGGCTTCACGATCGCCCAGTAACGATCCACCGAGATGCACATCAGATGAAGAATGGAGCTGGTGCTGAAGTAGACGTCCAACGAGTTCCAGACGTCGCACATGAAGTAACCGAACAACCATTTACCGGTCATCTGTACGCTCGCGTTGAACGTCATCGCGAACATCGCGACCAACATATCGGCCAATGCCAACGAGACCACGAAGTAGTTGGTTATTATACGTAGCTTCCGATGACGCATCACAGACACCATCACCAGCAGATTACCGAACACAGCTGTCACGATGATGGAGCCAAGGAGGCAACCTTTCGCGATCGTAGCAGGTACAGACCACTTTTGCTCGTTGCTGTAACTGCTGTTCGCGAACTGGCTGTCCTCGGTCGAGATGGCGTTCAACAGGGTCGTCACGTCCACCGAGGACACCACCTCCGTCGGTTCGGAGCTAGTCACGATCGTCGTCATGCTCAGCCACCACACGGAACCGCGCGTTTCCCTTGGCCTTGCTCCCTCTTCTTCGGCCGGAAGAGACTCGACAGGCGCGGCCTTAGGTCACGGACGTGCCAACGAGCCGACGTACCAGGCTGGCCTTCATCATCCCGTCGGGGAAAGGGCGTTGCCTCTTGCCAAGTTTCTTGTTCCCTGGGACGCTTGCCAGCGTAAAATCGCGGGGACACTGTGCCTTCTTCCTCGGATCTTGCCCGAGTAGGTCGCTTCGAGGGCTGTACGGGGACGTGTGCGTTGTTTAGCTCGGAGCTTGGCTGTACTACATGTCTACGAGGCTCCTCTTAGAGGTGATCTGGAAAACAAAGAGGTTTCAGCGTGGTTAGTAATTGATTTCGGCGGGTTGGATTTGGGTTACCTTCGAATCATCGATTCACCTTTCGGCCATGTAAAATGTTATTGTGTCGCGCTTAATGCGCTAAGTAAGTTGTGCGCACGTACGTCGGTAATTAAAAATTGTGGTAATTAGTTTGGCGGTGATTTTAACTTGTCGAACGGAGTCGATATTGGTGAAACGGCGTGGATGGAAACTTTCAGGATGATTTCGAGGTAACCCTGTCGAATTGACGCTGAATTGTAGTCGTGAGGGAAAAAGTTCGCGAGGATTTGTAGTATTTATAGAATTCAGGACATCTGAACTTAGCATGAAGCAAATAATACTTGTGGCATTATTACTTTTTCCTTGGTGTTCGAAAAAGTGTCTGATTTTTAATAAAAAAACTCAAGCTTTTTTTCTATCGAACGTCATTCTGATGATTATAAAAATTTTCAATTTATTTAGCCTGCTTTAAAATTAAAAAAATTCTGCTTTATTTGCATTTAGAGTCGTCGTAACACAAATTACTTACGCGCTGAGTTGATACAATCTTAAAAGGAAGATGGTAAATTCTTTGACCTTTTGTTGAAAGAAAAAATACAAATTGCAAAGTACAGATGAGTGAAATATTGAATTAGTTTTTCGAATCATTGTGATCGAAGTCACTTCACTCTAATTTCAACGCGACATTATATTTTCTCTGAAGCGCTTCGAATCCCTTCTTGTAGAAGGGAAGTTTTTATCGTTTTTAGGGTTTATTTGCACATAGCTTGAGCGATGCTCGCAGTGCAAACAGCGAGTTGAATGGAACGGTTTTACGGTATTTTAACGTGATATTGAAGTTCTTGTCGTCCCGATTGAGGTATTCGACACGAGAGAGATATCGTGCACACTAGACGACCCACTTTATACGATTTGTTTGTACTACTTGCTTAATCTACTCAATCCATTACAATCATTCGGACTATTCAATTTATTCAGTCTGCACGGCACTACACCACTATGCTTACAGGTTTATTTGCTCCAACTTCTGTCCTTTTCAAGTCATCGTGGACGTTTAATAAAATTGCTTTCATGATTCTAAATAATTGGATAAAACGTCGTCCTTTCAATTGTAACCTTTATGAGAAATTAAAGATTATTTTCCTTCGAATAAATTCGTTTATACATTTTCCCAAACGAGAATACTGTTAGAAATTCGGACGTTTCTATTGAAAATAGGAGATGAAAAATTTCAAGTTTTTTAAAGTATGAAATGAGGATTTCACCACCAAATATAGGACTAATCAATAATTACTAGAAAATAGTAGTTCAGTTGATAGGATCATGATGGTAGTAATAAGTGGAATTACTATTACCGTTACAGTAGTCAAGTTATAATACCTTGTTATGGTGTTTAATTCCACAACCACCTACAATACTAAGAATTGAAACACTATATAAACATTTCTGAGCTAAACGTCAGATTAATAATAATTATTATAATGATAGTAGTAAGTTGAATTACTACTACCATTATAGTACTCAATTGTTACGGTGTTTAATTCAATAACCATCTACAACACTAAGAATTGAAACACTATATGAACATTTCTGAGCTAACTATAACCTAAGTAACATTTGATAATTATTAACAACAAAACCTCAGGTTAATAATAATGTTTATGATGGTAATAATAAGTTGAATTATTACTACTATCATAGTAGTCAATTATTATGGTGTTTAATTCAATAACCATCTACAACACTGAGAATTGAAACACTATATGAACATTTCTGAGCTAACTATAACCTAAGTAACATTTGATAATTATTAACAACAAAACATCAGGTTAATAATAATTATTATGATGGTAATAGTAAGTTGAATTACTACTACCATCATAGTAGTCAATTATTATGGTGTTTAATTCAATAACCATCTACAATACTAAGAATTGAAACACTATATGAACATTTCTGAGCTAACTATAACATTAGTAACATTTGATAATTATTAACAACAAAACCTCAGGTTAATAATAATGTTTATGATGGTAATAATAAGTTGAATTATTACTACTATCATAGTAGTCAATTATTATGGTGTTTAATTCAATAACCATCTACAATACTAAGAATTGAAACACTATATGAACATTTCTGAGTTAACTAAAACCCAAGTAATATTTGACAATTCTCAACAACAAAATGTCAGATTAACGACGAGAAAGAAATTCTCGCTCCCACAAAAGAAATTCCCCAGAAACAAAAATTCCCAATTACACCTTCGAAAGAAAAAAGGAAAAAGAAAAATCAAGAACGCAATTGGTCGAGGACCAGCAAATATTTGCTGAAACTTCCCTTTCGTTCGCGAAACCCTTTTGTCAAGCGACACCGGCACGCGCGCTCGGCGACGCGAGTTTCCCGATTGTCACCACTCGAAATGAGGACGCGCCGGAAGAATGAGTAACCTTGAATGGAACCCTCTTTTTCTGCCGCCGTCGTCTATCGTCTCCGGCTTCGTTGACCGTGTCGCGACAGGGCCGTGTCAAGTGCACTCCCGTTCTGTCCGTATAATTTATGATCCGCTATTTTTGCGGTACATTTGGGTCAATTATTCCGACGGGCGAGCCGTGCTAGCGGCTGTGAAACGCGGCTGTGCCGATGAAAAACAGCCCCCTTCCCCCCATTCCTCTTCGTGAAAACTCGAGAACGCCACTTTTATTCGTCCGCGACAACCGACAACCCCGCCAGGGATTCGCGACGATCGTTGCTTCGATCACAGCTTTTCACCACCCTCTTTTACACCCGATCCCCGCGCCATTTTGGCCTTCGACGTTTCGTCTCGTGGCCTTCCGCTGGGTCGCGGAACCATTCGAGTTTTACGATCATTTCGCGCAACTGTACACGCTCGACGGATGCTCGACGCGGTTCGCCTACAGTGTGCCTCGACGCAACATTGCGAGGCGATCGGCGGTGTTTGTTTTAAGGATTACGACGCGGGGGGAGATTTTGTTGTATGTACCTTGTTGTAAGACGGTTTTACGATGTTGGGGGATTTTGTGGGTTCTGGAATTTATCTGATGAGCCTGTTTGTAAGTTTGTTTACGGACGGAAGCTTTGAGGGATTTTCAGGTATATTTGGAACGTAAAATTCTTGCGGGACCATTGTAGCGTTTTATTAGGCGGAAACAGTGTGAAATGGGTGTTTGCAAGGGTTAATTGTGTGTGAGAAAAGAGATAGAGTTGCAATTCTGCAATGTGGAATGTTTTCATATAGGATAATTCAAGTATACTAATTTTTTTAAATAAAATTAGGTAGGAATAGTGTGCAATATGTTTGGCATTCCAAGGATTAATTTTGCGTATGAAAAGAGAAAGAGTTTTGTAATAGTACATTGTATTTATTGTATGCATTGTGCGCAGTGTAATTCTGTAATGTGGCATGTAAAACGTTATTTTCATAAGTGACACTTCAGAGTGATGGTATACTAATTTTTTTTTTAACACGTTAAACGCCAAGCGTGTTTTGGCTTCCTTTCCGTTCAGCCCGCGACATCCGATTTCACCGATATGCTGGCGACCGGAGATCTGTGTAAGGTTGCGATAAGACTGCATGTGTTTCAATAATACTCGTTAAAATTTTTTTTTTGGTAACAAGTAATATTTAGGTACATTCTTTTATGATCTCCAAATTATTTAAAATTTATGAATAGAAGAATATAATTTTTTAAACTGTATACCGTCAGTCAACAGTGACTGACGCGGACCGAACGAAAAGTATACTGTCAGTCGCCGGTGACTGACATGGCGCTTAACGCGTTAATAAAATTAGGTAGGAATAGTGGCGGAATGCGTTTGGCATTCCAAGGATTAATTTTCTGTAAGAAAAGAGAAAGAGTTGTGTACTAGTATGTATTTATTGTGTGCATTGTACACAGTGTGATTCTGTAATGTGGAATGAGGAATGCTATTCTCATAAGTGATAATTCATGGTATCAATGTACTAACTTTTTTTTTTAAACAAACTGGAATTTAATACTTTATAGTTTTATATGTACGATCCTCTAACTTCTTATTGCTGACACAATTCTTTAGAGATTTCAACTGTCGACGATTTCTAAACCATCCTTCGTCGGCTTCAATTTTGATAGTCTACAGAACACTGTAATTTTCCTCCTTTCGTAGTTCATGTAGAAATGTCATTTGTAATGGTACGTTTGATTAATGCTTGATATTACAGTAGATGGATAAAAATGATCTTGATTGATGGTTTTATACCATGTCGTACTATTAATCTTTGTTTTACAGCGTGTACTAATGGATTTTGGTCAAGTCGTTATTGACATCGATTATAAACGAACCCAGACTTCGACTTCTTCTAACTTTTCATCGGTTCCTTGTCACGTTTCGACCAATTTAACAGTTTCAAAAGTTTGCTTAAAATCGCTTGAAACAGTTCGTTTAAATAGCACGAAATAGTGCCTCCTTTAAATAAGTTTCGACTTTTCATTTGCACGACGAAAAAAAAAAACATTCCCCCTTATTATTAGAAGGGTATAAATCGAACGCATACCTTCTTATTAATACCGTTCTAATTATACACTCGAAATACCAAACGTCTTAAACCATTTCTGTTTATGTCGAGTATTAAATTAGTAAA